CCGCTCCCGCCCTCGGCCCGCTCCTGCTCCCTCTCCATCCGCTCCCAGCTCCTTTCTTCCCCGGCTTCTCCGCTCGTCCGCACCTCCAGGCAGCTCTTCTCATCTCCTCATCCCCCCCAGTCCCTTACTCTTACCCCTCCCCGCAGCAGCCCGTCATCTCCACAACTTCCCTGGAAGTCAGTCAAGAAGACAAAAACCTGTCGGAAGTGTGTGGAGGGCCGGCCAGGTGCCTGCCCCTGGGTGTGTGTCTGAAGGCGGGTGGCAGTAGCACAGCGATTCTCAGCCGGGCAGGACCTCTGCAGGAGGCAAGGGCTTCTTCCAGTGGCATTTTTTGTTGGACCTGCTGCGGAGTTGGGACAGCGCTGGTGTGTGTGCACGCATACTGGCCTGGCCTGGAAAAGGATCCTTTCAAGGGTGATCTATATGCCACACCAGTGGTTCTCCACCTTTATAGACTCAAGGCACCCCTCCAGCTGGGTCCCTTCTTGTCACCTCCTTGCCTATTCTTCTCTCCCCCCCATAACCTTTTTCAGTGTGGCTCAGAGGTAAATGTAGCTTAGACCCACTGAAATGCATACCTCATTTTCATATCATATCATTCCCAGGGCACCCAGGGTGGCAGGACACCTTGGCTGACAATCACTGTGCTATACTATACTCCTTTATACGGATGCCCAGAAGCAGGCACCTGGCCTGACCTCCACACATTTTAGACAACTTTTTATCTCCTTTACTGACTTCCAAAGGAGTGTGCACGCACGCACGCACGCACGCACACACAACCTCCAAGGGCAGATGTGCAGTATTACACATTAAAGTCTTGCAGGCTGACTGGAAAAGCAGTCGCAAGTGAAGCATCACTTGCTGCAGCCTATGCTGATAGAGGTTCACATAGCTAGCCCTCTAAATCAGAGTAAGGCAAAATACGGCAGGTGGGCCGGATCTGGCCCACCAAGGGATTTTATCAGCCCTGTGGTGGGTACCTCAGCCCATCTGGCCCAGGTGCAGGGGGCAGCCTGGGCTGTGGTGCACGTCCCTGCTATGGGTGCTGGTTCCACGGGCAGGACATCCCAGGAGTGGATTGCAGGTCTGCACCCGGCCCTGGCCCCTGGCCCCCCACTGTCACTACCCCAAGATCCTGGCCCCAGCATGGCTCACCCATCCTGTTCTCAGATGCCACTCCCCTCCCACCTGCAGCTTCATCCCATCGCCCGGTTGAGTACACCCTGCCCGCAGGGGTCCTGGGCTGGTCTCCATGGAGACCCTGGGGCCCAGATCACCAGGTATTGATAGTGTGGGGCTGGTCCCCAGGGCAGAGCTTCTTAGGGAGTTGTGGTGAGGTTTCACGGCAGGGGGTGGCGCTGGCTTGGTGTGCCAGGGAGTGGGGGTGCAGACCCAGCCTGCAACAGCTCAGCAAAACTCCCTAAGTGGCCCTCCAGTCCAAATAATTTCTGTCCCCTGCTCTAAGTGCTCTCAGCCCAAACACTGCTGTTAAAGAAGAAATCTGCAAGGTGTTTTATCAGAATCTGTGCTGTGATACTCTGGAAATGCAATATAGAAGATCCAATCTGAGGGGCAAAGATACCATCTTTGTGACTCCTTAATGCTGGGTTTCTTCGGATGCTGGCATGGCCCCTCGTACAGATGTGAACAGCCAAGGGGACAGCTCTTACTGCAGCCTTACATGACCATCTTTTAACTGCCCTGTGATTTAGAGTAGATGGAGTGCTTTGCACTATGGTTTCTACTTCAATATCCTCTTCCAAACCCTGGCCACTACTGAGGCACACCGTTGGACAGAAAAAAAAAATAAGGCTATGTATTTCAAGCTACACTACTCATGTGCAAGGGATTTCCCTATGGGTCTATTCTGTCAGTCCAAAACCTGACCAGCATCTAATAATTTTATATGATTCAGGCAGCAGTTTGGTTAAGACTGCAGATTGTCAGTCATTTCCCAGACACAGGCACTGCCAGAGGTTAGGTTACCACATTTTTGTAAATATTTTGCTCAAATCTCAAAATGATTCTGAGGCAGAAAACAACATGAGCTTTTCTCAGAGCAAAACTATTGTGAATGTATATGTAGTGTTAGAGTGATGTAGCCATACTAGTCCAGGAATTATGGACAAGACAGGTTGCTTTGGGTAACATTTTTTATTGGAACAACTGCGCACATACCTGACTGGCCTGGAAAAAAGGCTTCTTCATCCTCTGATCAGCTTTATTTTGCTTTTGGCTCTGATGCCATCAAGCCTATTTGATGTACTGAAAAATCACGGGCTGAGGCCCATCAGGGAATACTATAAGTCTCCCTTAATAAGGATGGACATTGGGTGCACATCAACTAATTCTGGGGGACAAATAAAGAGGAGGGAGTGAGGTCATAGGTTAATAACATGGGTGCTGGATGGGGACAGTGAGCAGAGCATAGTGGCCAGTGCCCACTGCTCCCTGAATGAGTTGGGGGAACCTGTGGATGCTTGCTGAACAATGAAACCCTGCCTGGAGCAGTGAGCGGAGGAAAGGAAGACAACTCAATGCTTGCTTGGATACTTCAGTCAGAACTTCCTTCCTGGTTTTGTAGTTGGCCACCTTAGCCAGGACATCACAGTGCTTGGTAGGGCCATGGATGGCGGGGGAGTACGTAACTAAAAAAGTACAGGGAGAAGTACAGCCAGAACGTCAGCAGGAGGTTCTGGAGAAGGCAGAAAAGGGCTGCAACCTGGCATACTTGAGGTAGGTGTCTGGTGCAACCAGGTTGATTTGACTTGTATTGGGACTCATGCCCACAGAGCAAGTTAGTGCACCCCTTTAATACAGTGCTATTGGCAGCACTTTACCTAGACATCCGGCGGCCCCCAGCGAACTTTTAGTATCATGCCCTCCTTTGCCAGAAATAATGATAATAATAATCAGACAATGGGAAAAAATACCATTTTCGGGCCCCTTTTCTGTTCAGGTCCTGGGTGGTCGCCTGGTTCGCCCATGCCTGTGCCCAGCCCTGGCTATCGGGTATGAGTCAACTGAAGTTGTGGGACAAATAAAAGACAAAACAGAGACAGGGGTAAAGATCACAGGTTCAAAACGAGGGCACTGAGCAGAGCACACTATACAGTGCCCACTGCCCCTCCAAGAAGTCCAAGGAGCCAGTGGACGCTGCCCAATGAAACTGCCCAAAGACTTGAATGCACCAGGGACAGGAAAACAGCCCTTGGACCCCAGGGGGCACATAGGGGGTACAAGCTGGTGCATGTGCACCCCGAGAGTGCCGATGCACCCCATCAGGCCACACTCCCTGTTTAGCCAGTGGGCAGGAGGGCAGGTGGGAGCACCAGTGCCCCTGCTGTAAGTGCCAGCTGGGGAGCAGAGCCACCAGCAAAAGCAGCACTTCTGGAAGTGGCCACAGGAGTGGTCACGGCCAGTTTTACAGTGAGTGGGATCAGGTGCAGGGGACCATCACGGGACCCTCCCCCCCCCCCCCCCCCACACACACACTGGACAGTAAGATCGGCTGGCAGGGGACATGCCGGCCGGGCCCCCCCTGGTCGCTGACTGGAGCTCAAGAGGCACCAGACACCCATGCCAGGAGACCTACCAGCCAGTGCCTCCTTCTCAGTCAGGTATATTGCCAACATAGCTAGGGCCAGGAGAAGATTGACCAGCAGGTCCCAGAGTTTGCTGGGGCCACAGACGGGAAGTGCATAAATGAAAAGTTACAGGGAGCTGTGCAACCAGAACTTCTGGGGCAATCAGGAGGCACCTCCAGGTCACTCTCCCCACAGCTGGCAACTGCCTCTCCACACCAGGCAACAAACTGTGTAGCAGCTCCTGGAGCTGGAGGCACCCAGTGAGTGGCAGATGCCAGGGAGGCAACTGACTAAGGGTAGAAGGACCTGGAGCAATCCTGCTGGGTGCACTTTCTCTACAGCATTTACTCCTTGCCAGGGTTGGCTAGCTGTGCCACTGGGCTGACCCAGTGCGGCCCTGCTCGCGTGCTTATGAGCTCCTGGTCCCACTGGCCTGGGGCTGCCATTCATCCAGGCTCTGTGCTGGGGCTGGCACAGCTCACACATGAGCAGTGTTACCAGACCTTCAATATTAGTATTGGAAGCTCAAAATGATTGCATTTTCTGAAAAACAATTGTATACTGGGGAAAAAAGAAATGTGGAAATAAGTATGCAAATACATCTCCAGATTTACTTCATATTGCTCACTATAACTAGCCAGTGAGCGAGAACTGCATCATCCAGGTGGAAGCATTTCTTTATTTTGAGGCCAGCAGTCTCAAGGAAGTGCTGACAGCAGACCCCAGAGATGGTGAAGACTCCCTGAGTGCCTTGGATTTAGTATTGTTACAGGGGTGCTGGCTGTAGCTGTGCTGGTCTAAGGACATAGGCAGGCAAGCTTCTTTGGGTGGATGTGCTATCTTGTATGAGACCAGCTGCCCAACAAAAGATATCACAACTACCCAAAGCAGCTTGCCTGCCTTTGATTTTGCATGTGCTGCATCAATTAAAAACATTTTGCAGACAAGGTTTTTTGGGTGAATCTGATATCTTTTATTAGACCAACTTAAATTGTTGGAAAACATTTTCCAACTATTTGAGTTGGTCCAATAAAAGATATCAAATTCACCCAAAAAACCCTGGCTGCCTGTGTCCTCAGACCAACATGGCTACAACCTACATTGTGAATACTTTTAGTATGATCTATTGTACATCGTATAAGGGTGGAAATTATCCTACAAACAGGATAATAACCATACCGCAGGCAACACCGAGCACCAGGCGCTCCCTTCCTCTCCCCTCCCTGCCCTGGCTCCTCAACTGAGAGCACGACCCCACAAGCCAGTCACGGGGCTCAACATGGCAGCCGCCGCTGTAGCTTCACTCAGACCGTGTCACATGAACCTCCCCCCGTCCTTCCGCCTTTTCTGCTTCCGATGCCTAGCGTTGTAACGCTGGCTTCCGGTGACTCCGGAAGCGGAAGCAGGGGCAAAGAGGGTGGTTCCGGTGGTTCTGCAGCTGCAGGCCGGCTGCCGCCTCGTCCTCTGCTCCCCTGCCGCCGCCGCCGCCGCCGCCATGCACCCCGGCTTCCAGAGCAGCCGGCGCGACTTCACCTTCGGGCCCTGGAGGCTCAGCGCCGCACGCACCCATATCATGAAGTCGGCCCGGGTCGAGAGGTGGGGGCGGCGCGGGGCGGGCGGGCGCTGCCTTCTCTCCGGGGGTGGGTGAGCAGGGCCTAGAGCCGTCTCCGCCGTGGGGTTTCCTGGGGAGGGGGCAGCCCCTTTGTTGAGGGTCGGGTCCGGAGGGGCTGCGACAGCTGCCGGGAAGGATCAGTGGCGGCCAGAGCAAGTGTGGGAGCTGTGGGGAATGAAAAAACAAAAAGCAGTGGGGCCTGAGAGCCAAGGGCTGAGATGAGTAGAGGTGGCATTGGGGCTTTCCCCTGTGATGAGTCAGTATGCCTTTTGGTGTGAGGGGCAGGGCTGCCTTGGTTCCCCTCTGACCCTGGGGTCCTGGGATCTGTGGTGCTGCTTGGGGTTTCATAGGCCTGGCCCCCTTGCTGCAGCTAGCTCTGGGTCTGTAAATCAAAAACAACATGAACAAATGGGTGCATGAGGCTTCTGTCAGAGTGGTCATGGCTATTTACAGCTGTCTAAACTGGGGTTGGCATCATGGCCAGTGTCTGGCCCATGGAGCTGTTGGATCCACCCTGGAGCCACGTGGCTTTGGCAGCATGGGCCTCGCCTGTGCCTTGATGCGGCTGGGTCCTAGCACCAGCCTTCCTCAGACCAAGCCAGGTTATTCTAGGCCACTGCTGGAAAGACATCGCTGACCCCTGAAAATGGTTCAGATGCTTCCAATAGCGTTGGACCTTAGTGGTAACTAAATGTGGTTGTTTTAAGGCCTCAGATCAGACCACAGCCTTTCTTGACCTTTTGCTAATAGTATGTCTGTTCTGAAAGCTAGTGCATTGAATGAAAAGCTTATATGAGTGTGTCCCAAGCATGCAGTTGATCCAATATAAGATATTCTCCAGAAATAGCCTCGACTCGCGCATATCTCTGTTCACGTTGTTTTTGATTTTTGGGATTCGCTTGCGCATCATAATCTCTCTTAAGCATGCTATTTGTTTGCATAACATTAATTTAAAAATTACATCTACAAGCACCAACGGATGAAATAATGAGGTCTGAAAAGTGCAAAAATAGCTTCTCTGTCACCCAGTCAGCTCCCTTTGTTTGAGGTAGTGCTTTTTGCTTCAGTGAATGCCCAAAATAACTTTTGCTACAGTTCTTCACTTAATATCTCTGCAAAGCCATTATAGCTAGAGGAGATGGAACTAGGTGTGCACTGATAGAGATTTTTGGGGCCAATACCAATAGCCCATATTTAAGGAGGCATATCGGCTGATACCAATCCAGTTTCCAATACAGCTGCCTCCAGCTGGTAAGTCTGGTGTGGCGGAAGGGGAGGAGGGCAGGACACATCAATGTCCCGTGGTGAGGGAGGGGACAGGGTGCTGGTCTACATGTATTGGTGTGCCTCTAGATGGAACAGATCAAGTTCACCAGGCATGGATCTGCAGGAGACTTTTACTGCATGGTTGATTAATTAACTGTGCAGTAAACATCTCGGCATCTACATGTTCACCCCTAGTAGGGCACGTGAAACTAAAACTCTGCAGCAGGGTAGGACATGTATTTACAAGTCCTACCTTGTTGCAGAGTTTATTTTTGCGCAGCAGCACACACATGTAGATGCTGAGCCAGATGGCTGCCTGCTGCCTAGCTCCACACTGAAGCACCCTCGTGTCCCAACCAGCCCCTCTGCAGCATGTTAGCCTGGTTGGAGCAGTCCTGGGCTGGCAGGCTGATCTTCTCGTCTTCTGTGACTCCCTGCCAGCTGGGGCTGCTGTGGCCCAGCTCAATGTGCTGCAGTCCAGGCACCTGTGTAAACTGTGCACCTGGAAGCAATAAAATGCAGAACAATAAGCTCCATGGTTTATTGTTCCATGTTAAATGGCTTGTGTAGAGGTGCCACAGGCATGGTACTTGGTCAAGCTTTTCAGCAATACTGTACCAGTATTCCTCAAGCATGATTCTAAGTTTATGGCCCAGTCAGTGTTTTGCATGTCTTCTGAGACTGCCTCAGAAGGATGAGAGTTTTTAGCAATATTGGCACTTTTCCTTTACTGGGAGATTAACTGTCAATTTTCAAGGACACCTGAGCCAGTTAGTTGATGGAAGTTCCCATTATTAACAAGCAGAGCTATTTCTAAAATGGGCAGGAGAATGCTTAGATACCCTTCCGTAGCAGTTTTCTCTCTCTCTCTCTCTGAGGATTTTTTTGAGGAATATTTTGGTATTTCAGAAGAATAGAAGGATTCAGAAGGATTGAAGTTTTGGACTTCAAAAATGCAAATTTCAGCAAGCTCAGGTCACTAGTAGGAGAAATGCTGTGGGGGCAGCTCCCACTGCCATGCGCTGCTCAGCTGGGAGCTGCTGGTCCGGTGGCTCATCTGGCACTCACCTGCTTATCCTGCAGCCCATCTGGGAGGGTATGGGAGGTGCCCCTGGGTCTGCTCAGGGCCAGGTATTTCTGCAGCCACAAATTCACCGTAGCCCCCTCGCAGCTCTGCTCATCCAGGAAGAGCGTGGCACAGCCCCAGCCCGCCCCATGCAGATCCGGGGGTGCACACACCCCTTGTGCCCTCCTGGATGAGCGGGCAAGTGCTGCACAAGCCACCAAACCAACAGCTCCCAGCTGAGTTGTGCGCAGTGGTGGGAGTTGCTCCTGCACCCCTCCAGACAAACTGCAGTTCTGTCCCGCACCTGCCCCGCCCCAGCTGGGCAGCACTTGTCCCAGTTCCAGCACCCCTCCTCCCTCTCCACAGGGGCCTTGATCTGCCCCCCAATGCCTCTTCCTCTCCCCCTTTCCTCCCCTCCCTCTCCCTCACCCCCACACCAGACTTACTAGCTGGAGGCAGCTGTCCACGCTGCCAGGCTGTGTTCCTCACTGCCTGTGCTGCACCGCACTGTGGCAGCACGCATGCACGGGCTACTTATTGGCCAAATTTTTTGGGCCAATTTTCAGTCTATTACATTTTCTTTATATTAGTGCCAATTTGATATCAGGCCAGCGTATCGGTGCACCTCTACTAAACAGGAAAATCACGGTCCTCTTAGGAAAGACGAAAGAGGCATACAAACAATGGAAGCTTGGGGCATGCCCCAAGAAGGACTATAGAACAATGGCCCGTGCTTGTAAGGTTCAGATTAGAAGGGCTAAGGCAGCAACTGAACTAAAATTAGCAACAGGAATCAAGGACAACAACAATTCCTTCTTTAGGTATGTAGGAAGCAGGAGGAAAACAAATGGGAGTGTGGGGCTGCTGCTCAGCAACTCAGGACAGCTGGCTACCAGTGCTCAGGAGAAAACTGAACTCCTGAATAACTACTTTGCTTCGGTCTTTCACAGGGCCAAGGGGAAAATCGTGCCAGATAGGGTACAGAAAGAGCAGGGTAGGAATGACCGCCTTCCTACTATTGCCATAGAACTGGTGTGTGACCAATTAAAAAAATTAGACGTAAATCAGCAGGCCTGGATGAACTTCATCCAAGAGTGCTAAAGTTATTGGCCAGAGTCATCACGGAACTGCTGGCAAAGCTCTTCCAAAACTCATGGCGCTCCAGGGAGGTCCCTGAGGACTGGAAGAGCGCCAATATTATGCTTATCTTCAAGAAGGGAAGGAAGGGGGAGCCGAGTAATTGTAGGTCAGTTAGCCTAACTTCTATCCCGGCGAAAATCCTGGAAACCTTTATCATGGAATCTATATGTGATATGCTTGGGAAAGGTAGGATTCTGAGTGACAACCAGAATGGCTTAGTTGTGGGCAGGTCTTGTCTTACCAACCTCATTTCCTTTCATGATGAGGTAACTTGCCATCTGGATAAGAGAGAGGAGATCGACATTGTATACCTTGACTTCCAAAAAGCTTTTGATTTGCTTTCCCACAATGTTCTCATTAGAAAATTGGCTTAACTGCTTGAAAGGCAGGTGGATAAGAAACTGGCTGTGGGGTAGGACCCAGAGAGTTCTACTGAATGGATCTGTGTCGTCTTGGCAAGAAGTGACTAGTGATTTTTAACTTCTTCATCAGTGATTTGGATGTGGGGGTGAAGCGCTCATTGGCCAAGTTCACGGATGACACCAAGTTATGAGGAAGAGTGATCATGCTTGAAGACAGAGATCCAGGTGGACCTAGACAGGCTGGCAAGTTGAGCGGATCAGAACCACATGAGGTTTAACATTGAGAAATGTAAAGTGCTCCACCTGGAGATGAACAATCCTTGACACACCTACAGGCTTGGCAGCGCCAATCTGACGAGCACTAGCAATCTGACCATCAGCAGTGCAGTGCTATGGCCAGCAGGGCAAACAACACGCTGGCATGCATTAACC